ATCACAACCATGAAATCTTGTTACCGCTTTCACTCTCCGGAAACGGCCCCGCCACGTCAATGGCTATTCTCTCCCATGGTGCACCAACATTGTACAACTTCAATGCACCTCTACTACGAGTCTGAGGTCCCTTTACAGCCGCACAACTTGTACATTTGCGACACCAGTCCTCGACATTGTTTCGACAGTGGACGCAATAAAACCGTTCTCGGATCTTCAGTAGAGTTCGTTTAACTCCCAGATGGCCTCCGGAACAATCATTATGGTACAGCTGTAGAACATCCGGTACTTTAGCTTTAGGGACAACCATTTGCATGACATGACAGCTGTCTCCCCGAACATTTTCCCATTTACGGCAGAGAACTCCATCCTGAAGCAGCAAGCTGTCCCATTGGGCCCAATAGCTTTTAGTGGTCGAACTCATCGCGGAGACGTCGCCCACTGGGCTAGGGAGCACTGGCCTTCATCCATTCCAGAATCGGCTTTATGTCCGGATCTTCCTGCTGTGCATGTCGTAGGCTCTCCTTCCACTCGTTGCTGAGGTGGTCTGTCCTGAGCATTCTCACGGATACCACTTCCTTACTCTCTTGCCTAGTACAATGTTTCCGATCTTCAGGACAAGGTCTTCTTGACAATGCATTTGCGTTGCCATGAGATTTCCCGATGCGATGTCTGATAGTAAAGTCGTATCCCGGCTACTGCTGGGTGGTGATGCTAGCCGCACTTCCCTTCTGAGATCGTTCACCTTCCCTTTCTAGGGTTCGATTAGGGCAGCTGGATCGAAGATAGCCCCTTTCCCCACAGCCATAGCACCTAGGGCTGTATCCATTATTGTGGTCGCGAACTGCTGCAACCTCCCTAACGTGAAGGGAATGATGTTGCTGCAACCGCCAGGCGGTGCCGTTAGCTGCACTACCCTCTCGAGATCGATCAACTTCCCTTTCTAGGGTTCGCTTAGGGCAGCTGGATCGTAGATGGCCCTTTTCCCCACAGCAATAGCACCTAGCGCTGAATCCTTTGTTGCGGTCGCGAACTGTAGCTGTTGCAACCTCCCTGACGCGATGGGAACGATGATCCTGCCGCACGGCTTCCACCTCCAGTGCATGGGCCAAGGCGTCTTTAAGCGTCTCGTGGTGCCCGAGCCTCACAGCAGCTCTGACTTCCAGGTCGCGGATGCCGTCAATGAATGTCTGCACCAGGTTCCCTTCAATGAGCGCAGGTACAGACCGGTATGCTTTTCGCACCAGCTTCTCCACCTCTAGAGCCCACTGCTGCAGGTTTTCATTGATGCGTTGCACGCGATCTTTAAGCTGCGCACGAAAGACATGTTCCAGGTGGGCGTCACCATATCTCGCCTCCAATGCCTCAAGGAGTTGCTCGTAAGTCACTTCTTTACCGAGAGCTTCTAGAACAGTTAAGGCCTGGTCGCGCAGGCCTAGTGTGAGAGCAGTCATGGCCTGACTTTTATTCCAGCCGTTTGCCTTCATAACAGGCTTGAACTGGATTTTGTAGGCTGACCAGGAAGAAGTCCCGTCGAACGGTGACAATTTGAACCCACGTAGCGAAGGTGTAGTAACTACTACCGGAGCTGTAGTTCCATCACCCAGTTTGAGGTCGTCCAGCGTTTTCTTCACGTCAGCCATCACGTAATCAACCCGATTGTTCACTTGGTCGATTTGGGTTTTAGCTTCCTTGATTTGCGTTTCAGCCTTCGCGATTTGGGTTTCAGCTTCCGACAGGCGGTTGTCATGCTGATCAACCCTATCCTTAACCTCCTTTATCTCCTTCCCGAAGGTAGCGTGAAGATCCTTCATGAGGAGCATTTGCTCTTTCAACCGACGGGCCTGTTCCTCTTGTCCGCCCCGCAGCTGCTCTTCGAAACGACGGACCTGTTCCTCCTGTCGGTGGGCCTGTTCATCCTGTCCGCCCCGCAGCTGCTCTTCCAACCGACGAACCTGTTCCTCCTGTCGGCGAGCCTGTTCCTACTATCGGCGAGCCTGCTCCTGCAGCATCACCATCAGAGCACCTAAGTCAAGTGCTGCAGTTGTAGGAGCTACTGACGCGCCTACAGCCGGCGTCTGGCTCTCCGACCTCTGCGGCGTTGCACCACCAAATCTTCTTTGGTCCGTCTCCTGCTGGCGTTGACTTCGGGTACGGACACCCTCCGTTTCCTCCTTAGGTAAAATCGGCATGATTTTATCCCACTTCTGACACCAATTGTTACGAGCTTGAGGTTCGTGACAATAAAAATTGACGATAGAATTTCCTAAATTAACACTTTAATTTTCTTTACACCAATTAAAACTTAAAACACTAATAATTAATCACACTGATTCACTTTATTTCGCTCCGAAGCTTCGCTTGTCTCGCCAAATTCAATACTTCCCCCGATCGCATCTTGCAGCGCCTATAAATATAAATTAGCACCGAAATATCCAGAATATTCAAGTAAACGCGCGCAAAGTACCGAGAGTTCGAGTTTCAACTTCTAGAAGTTTAGTTCTTCGGTTCGAGACTAGATGGCGCTGTCGGTCGAAAGATTAGTGATGTCATTTTCTGGAAAGCTCCCCTCGCTCTCGTCTCTGACACTAGATGGTGCTAGTGCCGTCTACTTAGGCGCGTAACAATATTTTCGATTTTGCTGTCGTTGTACAGTAGGGTCATTCACTAGGTCGAGCTGTATTTAATTTGCGAATTGACCAAGTTATTACAAATATGAAATCAAAACTGAATGTGTCGACGACGTGCCTGAAAGACGGTACACTGACACATACAACAGATGTGGTCCTTAAAGATTATGCAAATATATTTTATTAATTTTAATTAATTTTTTTATAATGATTTCTTAAATTTAAGCGAATAGCAAACAATGAATAAAACCTAATATAAAACTTATATAGATTTTATCGCATATAATTAACTTATTTTTAATTCCCGACGCGACGTTTTAAGTGCTTTATTCGTATTTTTTTGTAACTCCATTTAACATTTAAGTTAATCTTGTTCTAATGTAGACATTTTGATTATAAATTTAAATCATGTCTACTAAGGAGGCAGAGGCGTAGTGTGAGACGCTACGTGTGTAGACACTTTGGCAGCCACTCATCCGTGGTGGCAACAGAAGCCACTGAATGGACAAAAAAATTCTGTAGTGTCGATCATGGAATAAAGAATTTTGGTGCAACCGTTATCCAGTAAAAGTTATGTAAATATTCACTACCCTATATCGTGTCGTGGCATCTATGACAAATATCCCCGCTATGATAAAGATATTGATTAATTTGCAACCTCACGCTAACTAAATAGCGGTCTTAGCGGTCAACCGCCGTAAAGTCTACATCACCTGAGGATGCCTCATGTAGAGGCGAAACACGTGTCGTATTATCGTCGATGGTGTGTCTTTCCTGGAATAATGGTGTTGGAAGTAGTGGTGCCGGGAGTAGTGGTGTTTGGAGTAGTGGTGCTGGGACTAGTGGTGACGGAATTAGTGCATGCAATAGAGGGAGGGCGAGAGATGATCTTCAATCCAGGTAAGACACATCAATGTATTTAGTTAGCGGAAGGTTGCAAATTAATCAATATCCTTATCATAATGGATTTCCGCAAAGTAACGCCTAATTTTATCAACTATCCCCGCCAAGAGACTATTTACGGAGGGAACCTATTTTCAGCAGTGGAATTTTGATACGCGGTAACGGTCTGCAACCGCTTATGCTGACAAATTTGCACCACACTAAACTAATGAGTCAATTATCGTCATACTTCAAAACATCGGGCCATTTGATATTTTAAAAGTTATAACATTTTTTATTCATAATCTCGATGTTGACATTTACCGATAAATTCCAATAAAATAATTGTATGTATCCAAGTACTGAGAAATACTCATTTACATTTAATCATTTATAATACCTATAGGTACGAAAATATCTGTCTGTTCTTATAGCACTGGTCGCATAAAGTCTCATTTTATTGTCCCTACCTTGCTTTAAAATATGTCTTACTATTCAAAATATTTACATTTTTTATGTTTATATTTATAGTCTTTGGTGTGTCTGTAATTGATAGTATAACTTCTCTTAATGAATTGACCAATTGTGGTCATATTTACACAATATATTTGTGTTGTCAAGACGATAGTTCTACTAGAATCCGACAGGTGGGGTTGTGGTAGTTTTTATAAATTCAAACTTATCACGCCATCTACCGTAAAAAGCAGTAAAATGCCTGCCCGGCCAGTTAATATTTTTATAAATTAAGGGTAAATAAATTTAAAACGTTTACCGACAACGTCGCAATTTTATTTAACTTAATATTTAAAGTGGAGGATAACGAAAACCTTAAATATCTAATAAAATATTATTATTCTACTATTCAACTCAACGTAAACTATGACAATAGTAATAATACTACGTGAAACACTGATTTAAATCGTATATTCAATTGTAATTTGAGTTATGATTTATACTTGAAGACGATTTATAACTTAAATTTAAATTTAATAAAACCTCTAAAACAAAAAGAGCTAGTAATCTTCCATCGTCTGACAGATTTTCTTGATCAAAATACCTTCCAACCAAAAACAACTAAATCAAAAATGTTTCGTCCGTTTGGGCGCTACGATGCCAAAGGATAGACACACAAATCAGTGCTACATGTTAAACTTATAACATCCCTTTGTTTTCGTCCAGAGGTTAAATATGTCTTGATCGTTTGTTTCTTATAGTTTTGATTACAAGATATGTGTAAACGCAACCGCGTGTCAAACAAACGCATCATGTAAAATGTGGCGCCTTTATCATGACGTAACTCCATAAGCATTATGTTAAAATTATCATAGTAATCAAGAATGGCTGTAAAAAGCGCGTGCTTCCTGAATTCTTTCTGACCTCTATAGTTGACTTTTTTTTTAATATTTCAAGTCACTTAGCATCTAGTTTCTTGTACTATATAGTTGTTGTAGGTGATGACGCGCGATTATAAATACCGAATGAGACGAGATGAGGGCAATCAGTAGCTTCGAGACATCCTGCACGATGAGAGTTCTGGTTAGTCAAGTTGTGTTCCTTTGTTTAGTGTTTCTTGTGATAAGTGATCAATATAAAAAGTGAATCGTTGGGTTTATCCTTATATTATTTTACCCTTTATAAATATTAATTCATTCATTCATTACAGCATACCTAAAGTTCAACGCTGAACAAAGGCAGCCCACGTAGCTTTGTAGCGGGATATTTGCCATAGTTCCCTCTCTTAGCAACCCCTCTCTTAGGGGGTTGGCAACCGCATTTTTTTATTATTTTGAGTTGTAATCAGGATAATACATCCGTATTATTTCCTGTTTTATTTCCCTCCGTCGCCTTATAACGACACCCACGGGATGGTATACGCTGGGATACGCTTTGTAAGGCAGATGGACAATCGCAGTTTTTTTTTCAGCTGTTATTTTGAGCCGTAATCAGTTCGATACTGCTGACCATTTTCCGTTTCAGTATCGCTCAGTCGCCTCTTACGACACCCACGGGATGATATATGGTTGTTGATTCTCTTGCGCCGCCACTACACGGCAGTTTTTATCTTATTACTAGCGATCTGCCCCGGCTTCGCACGGGTGATATCTGGATTCTACAACAGCGCCACCTACTGGGTCTAACTATGTCTGTAATTTTCGCGGAAAGGAAACAAATTGACAAAGTTTTCCCGTAATCTAATGAACGGTACGGCAGCGCATAAAATGCGAACAAACAAAACATTATTTTTGTATATTCCAATAAATATCTTGTTACAAATATTATACAATATATCTTATTACAATACTATAAATAATATAATACTAATATTAGTGAATAGACATAACAATCCACCCCAGGAATTGAGCTTCTTCTAATGCAGGAAGGCATTTTACCGTAATCACTACGCTTAGTGGGCGATTTGCCCTAAAGCTCACTAACTTAGTATAAATTGATAAAAGCTTAACTGCTATTGTTGTCATGGTTTGCAATGTTGGCTGTCAGCTAGAGTAGTATTTTTTGCGTGAAATTATGTGACTGTTCGTCTTTTAATTTTTAAGAAAACACCTTCGACCCTTGATATTATTGGATGATTCTCTTATATCGTAACACACGAAGTTTTACGAAGTTTCTGCTCATGCTTTAGTGAATTAAAATGTTTCCGTTAAGTTACAATAAAAGAAGAATTGGTTCGCAATATAATGACTTAAAATTTAAAGTTACAGCGTATAATATACGTCCCACTGCTAGGCACAGGTCTCCCCTCATTTCTGAGAGGGTTTCAAGGTAAGGAAATATCTGCCACGTTGCCCCAATGCGTGTTAAAATTAACATGTTTTCGAAATATTTTTTCCTATTTCTCAGACATGCAGGTTTCACGACGTTTCCCTACACCGGCGAGCACGTAGTAATTCAGTACAAAATATCACCATTTACAATCATATAAGTAACTAAGTGCTTAGCGGGAAAGAAAATCGTGTGGGATATCTGCATGTCTAAGATATAATATACTTTAAGAGCACTTGAAATCCACTTATGTACATAATAACAGTGTGCTCAATCATTCCTGTTCCAAAGCTTTTCAAAATTGAAATAAAGCCCAACAGTGGGACGTTTATAGTCTGTTACTTCTCTTTTTCTTAAATTAAATGTCTGTGAGTCTATTAAAAACAAACCGAAGCATGGTAGTATTACGGTTGACGTTCATTAATTGTACCTGGGAACTACTGAACTTTACTAAGCGTCAGGAAAATAAATATTTAGTTTAAAAATAAATACATGTTTCCAGGGCTGATACATAACTATATCCCATAGCATACTTAAACGACTTCGACAGAATATTGTACACCAGTAAAAATATCCACGACACCAAAAATACCCGTGAGTGTCGTAAGAGTGTCGTAGCAGCAGAGAGAAACTAAAACAAAAGATGAGCAGCATCATCTTTCTGATAATTTAAAACTAAAAAAAATATCGTTATTGCCAACCTAATGAATGATATTTACAAAATTTTTTTATAGGACAGGGTGACAAACGAGCACACAGTCCACCTGATGGTAAGTGGTTGCTGTGGCCCATAGAATCAAAATACAAATGCGTTGTCACCGGTGAGAACTCTTAGGTGGAATGCCTCGTTTCCAGTAAAAAAGGGTCTCCGGTTCTCTACACTCACCATACGAAACACTGCAGCATCAAGCTACTATTTGACGCCGGTATTCTGTGAGAGCGTGGTCCCTCCTCGGTCTAGCCGACCCATTCGTGCTACAACTATATACTAATATAGCTGCAGCATGGCTCTACCACGTTAGAAAACATACACATACATACACAAGAATGGCCCGCTTAAAGTATTAAGATTACATTAATTTGAATACGTAATACGACTTGCAGTTAACCTTCATACCTACAGCGTTCCATAAATTACAATTGTAAATGCTCTAATAATAGAAATAAATTCTTATGATCACAACAAATGATAAAATATATTTTTTACAGATTTTGACCGCTGCCCTCTTGGCTTGCACAACCGCTGCGCCTTCTGGTGCATTTTTCGGTCCAATTGCACACATCGCCTATTCTGCGGTAACTATTCCTAGTGTTGTACCCACAATATCGCCAGGTGACTTACAAGCTGCCGAAATAAACGCAAAAGTTCAAGTTGAGCAGCAAGCGCAAGCTGCAGCCGACAAGGCGAGAGAATTAGCTGAACAAGCAACAGAGAAACAAGATGAGGGTATCATTGAAGCTAATGATTTAGCAAAAGAGCGGGCCGAAGAGTCATTCTGGGCAGCAGAAGAACAGAAGTGGCAAGCTTTAGACGCTTTAAAAACCGCTGAAGCTCAGATTGATGGATCTTTAGCGAGCAGGGCGAGTGATGTCGCTTTAGCAGCGTATAGTGTACCAACTGCTAATCAGGCACTAACAGGACTTTTGGGACAGTCTGTTGTAGCGGCAGAACCAAAAATCATTGTCCCTGAAGGAATCAAAGCAGATGAACAAAAGGAAAAAGCTGAAAGTAACGCAATGGGTGCAGTCAAATTAGTGCAAGCGGAGAGCAAACCAGAAAATGCTGAAAAAATCATGGAGAACGATCAGGCAGATGCAGCTAAAATGGAATCGTCAGCGTCAGTGAAAACTGCAGAAGAAGTTAAAGAAAAAACTCCAGCTGCTGCTATGCAAGTCGAGAGCAAACAAGAAAATGCTGAAAAGCCCGTGGTGAACGATCAAGTAGAAGCAGCTAAAATGGAATCGTCAGCGTTAGTGAAAACTGCAGAAGCAGTTAAAGAAGAAACTCCAGCTGCTGCTATGCAAGCCGAGAGCAAACAAGAAAATGCTGATAAGCCCGCGGAGAACGTTCAAGCAGAAGCAGCTAAAATGGATACGTCAGCGTCAGTGAAAACTGCAGAAGAGGTTAAAAGAGAAAATCTAGCTGCTGTCTTTTTAGCTCAAACTCACCAAGCACCTCTGGCGTCTAATGTCTTTTTAGCGCAACCGTGGCTAAAACAAGGATATGCACCAATTTCCTACATTTCTGGTTTACAAAGCTACGTTCCAAATCTCATTCCAAATTATAACGGTCAAGTAAATCCAATTATTTTTAGAGCTGCGTGGTAAGAAGCAGGTTATTTACAATTCAATAAAAAATCTTAAGAGGATTAGTAAAAGAAATAAATCGTAATAACAAACGTGTATTTAATTTCTTAGTCCATTATAATGTACAGGCTGCCGTGCTTATTAAAACTGCAATAATTAATATTTTTAGTAAATGAAGTCTAGAAATTTAATTAACTCCACAATTTAGCATTTAGTATCTACTTCTTCGGAATTAAATATTAGATAAGGATCAGATTTGCTTATAATCATACAATCATCGTGATTTCATTATCACTCACAAGGGTCCGATTATATTACAAGGAACTTACATATACAACGCAGATAATATACAAAGATGTTTACATATACAACACAGCTGACACTTACCATAGGAAAATCTGAGCTGTAAACGTCAATACTCTTCCAGTGTCACAATATAGAAAAACTACACAATATTAATAATTAAGTTCATGACAGGGTAAAGTAAAAAGAAAATAAAAATCTATAATAAGATAACACTTTGTGTGTGTGTGTGTGTGTGTGTGTGTGTGTGTGTGTGTGTGTGTGTGTGTGTGTGTGTTTGTGTGAGTGTGTACATATGTGTATATGTGGGTAGTATGTGTGTGGATGGGGTGTCGATGTGCGTGTAAATATGATATATTGTATTATATTATTACATATATACATTTTAATTACTCTCTTATACAAAAGGCGTCCAAAAATTGATAAACACGTTGGCCAAATGAAATTTTAAGTTGCACCGACCGAGGTATATTTTTGCGTTGTTGACGATTTCACTGTCGACCGTTTACCTTATAATAATGTCTTTTAAATATTTTCAATTTTCAGACGTATGTCTTCAGGATGTTTTCTTTCACCGCCTTGTACGAAATAACTCAGCATCAGTACTTAAGATTACAATAAACAATTTCATTGGTGCCGGTGAGGATCACATCCGTGCTGCTTGCCTACCGCGAAATTTACGACGGATGCAAACCCCTGCGGCATTAACCAAGCCGCCAACCCACTTGCAAAGCGTGACAACTGTAGCACAATCCCCCTATGAGGCAATGTCGGGAGAGGCCTATGGTCAGCAAAGGCTTTTGACTATCTACTTTTAATATAGTGTGTTAAAGATAAGGGTACAAAATTTGCTTTACTGCTAAATAGAGTAAATCTCAGAAAGTGCTTATTTCCACGCGTAACGGACTGTTACTGTGAAACAGATCTAATGTCGGCTACATTACTACGCACCTATTACAATGTAACACAAAATATTATCACTATGATAGTAGCGTAGATCAAGATCAATAGATATGAATAATATATTTTACGTATTATGTACATACTAGCAATTTATAACCTAGGTCCGAAGGAATCCCTTAGAGAAATATTTAAAGAAATAAATATATTAATTTTGCCTCAATATGTATAAACACAAACACAAAAATAGTTTTATTAAAAATATTTACGTACGTTATGGAAATACTAGGAACAAGCACATGTTAATTATACTTGTTACTCGACTCAAAAAGTTAGTATACCTCCATGGGGCGATATACTTGTACAACAACGCTGTTACAACAAATTCCCATAAAATATACGGACCTTATCTATCAAAAAGTTTAAAATTTTTATTAAGCAAAAAATGTTTTAGTTAATAAAAAATTAAATATTATTCAAAAATTATAATAACCCATAATAATAAAGTGTACATGACTTTGAAATGAAATGAAATTAATGATTTTTATTCCATATAGATTATTACATAATGCTTATAGAAACTCATTTTTGTTTAACCATTGGTTCGGAAAATACTTCCGTCTTAGAAAGAACTTGCAAGAATCCCAGCTGGACTTTTTTTTTAAATTTCACTTTACAATAATTATGTTTGTACAATTTTAAATAAATTTTAATAGAACACGCATGGCGATCACCTCAATCCCGAGAGTTATTTTCATTTATGTATTCTTCTTGTATAATTTTTCGTTAATAAGATATTTAAACTTGTTGACAAATTTTGTTCATTTTCTTTTGATAATAACTTTGATTGATAATAGCCTCTGGGAATGAGGTGATCGCTACCATGCTATTTCTAATGTTTTCATATCAATTGCATAAATAATATACTGTAAATGAAAAGTCCCGCTGGATTTCTTGCTGGTTCTTTCCAAGACAGAAGTTTTTACCGGTCCAGTGGTAAAAGTAAAAAAATATTTTCCATAAGTATTATTGTAATATATATTGAATAAAAATGATTCTATTTTATTCTATAGAATTATAAACAATCAATGAACAATTTCAAGATCTCTTGACACTATTCCTAATCTCCAATAGATGTTGGTACAACCATCGCGTTTATACCATTGTTCTAAGTACCCAAACACAAACACTTACCATCAAGTGGGATAGCAGTCAAGCACAAAAGAATAGTTAAAAAACAGTACTAGGCGCCTTAAGACAGATTCCATCCCCCATTTGTACTTGGCAGAACCGTGGCATACCTAGAGGAGAATGATCTCCTCAGTTACCGAACTGGGGACCTTCTTGCGTATGCCGCTTACATATGGGTCGAAACCCTCAAGAACAGTGGAGAAGCACTTGCTGTTTCCTTTCGATGTTTTGAAGGCCTTTGACACTGTATGGTACGCTAGCCTTTTGGGCAAGCATTCAGCGTACGGCTTATGCCCTGGCCTGATTGACTGGGTGAAGGGCTTTCTAAATGAACGATCTCTCGGAGTAGTCATCAATGGCTGCACGACCAGTCCTTTAGCGACATACGCCAGAGTTCCTCAGATGTCCGTTCTCTCCTCAACTCTCTTTTTGCTGCATATTAATGATCTGCTTGTACCTGGTATCTATAGTTATGTCGACGATAGCACAGTTGTGGAGAACTACCAGCCGAATGCTCGGCCAGTCGGGATATAATCCAGTTATAATCCAGAAAGAGAAGCTATGGTTGAGCGTGCGAATCTCTCACTGCAGTCTCACGGCAGTCTCCGAATGGGGCGATGTCAATCTCGTGAGATTCAACGCCTTCATAACACAAGCGTGTCTTTTCACCGCTAAAAGGAACCCGCTCACCTTGACTCCCAGTTCCCGAAATGTATCCTTGGAATACACTGACCGCCTCCAGTTGTTAGATGTCGAATTTTCTCCGAACCTCCACTATGGGCGGTTCATTGACTCCAGGACTAAAGCAGCCGTAAGGAAACTAGGTGTCTTTGCAAGGGTGCGGCGGTACTTCACGCCAAGACAGCTTCTTACTTCATATAAAGCGTAAGTCCGGTCGTGCATGGAGTACTGCTGTCACATGGGCTGGTGATGCAAAATGCCACCCAGCGGCGTTGGACTCTGTGGAGAGACGTGCTAAGAGGCTTATTGGTAACCCTGATTTGGTTGAAAGCGATCTTGTCAACGTCGGGCACAGGCGCAGAGTAGCCAGCTATACTGAGAGAATTCTATAGGATGCATTTCGGTGAGTGTGCGCACGAATTACATACCTCCTTCTCTCCTTTCCACCATAGGACAACCAGGCAGCCGACAGGTCTTTCACCCCTTTGTTGTCGATGTTCCACGCATTAGAGCCAAACGGTTTGTTTCGTCTTGTTCATGCATACAGCAAAGGAGTGGAATAATTTGTCGGCATCTATCTTTCCGTCCGAATACAATCTGGGCGTCTTTAAGGCCAGAGTGAATAGGTATTTGTTACGCTAAGACTAGTGCAGTTACCATCTAAGGCTGCATCACCACTTACCACCAGGCGGGATTGTGGTCAAGCACTGGCTTATAATAATTTAAAAGAAAGATGAAGTTGTAAAGCCCGAAGGGCAAACAACGACCCAAGAAAGAAATGATAGGATTTTTTTTAAACATTGGTATGAGAATCGCATTATTTAATGGCTATTAAATAAATGGTTGATAATAAATTAGCCCAGTAACTTGAAACAAATACTTTTTTGTAGTCTACATTATCTAAAGATAGGGAAACCTGGAAAAAAATTCCGAAATTGTTTATCATATAAAAACTGCTTTGTTTTACATCTTTACGTTTACTTTATCTCAAAAAAGGAAACTAATCTAGCGGCAAGAATTCAAGTATGTACATAGCATTCTTAGAATTCTTACAACAAACCCAGACGATTTGATACAAAGAAAATATTTATCACTCATTTGCTATCTAAAATTCCTTACAGGTAGAGGGAGTATGTTCCATACAAAGTTACATTTAGTAATGAAAAATTAAAAAAAGTAACAACAAATCCAGCTGATTTTCCTCGAATTCTACGAGACTAAAACAATGGTGGCGGTTCTCGTGACGGTAATGCCACATTATATCTGGCCAAATACTTATCAATTATATATATATATGTGATAGGACACTTTTTCTACCCAGGAGTATTTTTATAGAATAAGAGTGACAAACGAGCACACAGTCCACCTGATGGTAAATGGACGCTGTGACCCATAGAGATCTACATATATCTACGATTAAGAATCAAAATGCAGATGCGTTGTCACCCCTGAGGATTAAGATAGAATGCCTCGTTTCCGGTAAACAAGGATCTCTGGATCTGTACACTCACCATACGAAACACAGAAGTATGAAGCTGCTATTTTACGCTGGTATTCCGTGAGAGCCTAATCCTTCCCCGGTCGAGCCGACGCTACAACCATAATATAGCTGCAACGTAACTCTACCACGTATTGAAATTAATACAGTTAATTACGCACAAATCCCGTGTAAGTATTTAAATAATAATAAAATAACAAAAAAACTATTTTGTTATTTGTGTTTTGTTGTTTGCGTTATTTGTTAGGAAAGCATAACTGACTGCAGTTTTTTATATGTTTATATAATAATACATTGAAATATTTATTCTGTAACATCTCGAAATAATTTGTATCAATAAAACATGACTCATATCATTCTCCAAAATTCGCTTACATCAACGGGAATGGCCAACTACGACCTTAGACATAACGCAAAAGTGACTATAATATATAACTTTCATTTTTCA